CCCCCCCCCCCCCCCTGCTGGAACAGGTAAGAGGAAACAACATTAAATTATATATTATATATCGTTAAAGGATATGTCTTTATAAATTGTTTATTTACTTTCTTTATATTTAGTGTTAGGGGAGCTTCCGCTACTAACGCCCCGCTTAAATTTATTTTGTTTATAATTGAGCCTAGTTTCACTGAGTTACTGATTATATACCGGATGTAATAGTTTATTGGAATTAATAAGGCCTCTAATATTGTATTTGCAACCTCTGCCTACCTACCTAACTTAGTATACACCTAGTGACCTTAGCTCTGATAAATTGCTAATCGCTTCCTTCATTCGGTTTCTTACAGAAGCACTACAATATATCAGGCGAAGGTCGTGTTGTACTAGCAACAACCCAATAAATAAGGCCAGATGGAGGTTACGAATTAACCAATCGTTCAAGACTTCAGTTTGCTCAGTTGTCCCTTTCCATGCTAATTTCTCTCTTCATAATACCTGCATACTAAGAACAGTATTAGCCGATAAGATCAGTTAATGTAATATACTATAGATATGCGTAATACTGCTGATATTAAGAGAGGATTCTAAGAAAAGATGCCTGCCGTGCGTTCTAAGGTTAAGGTATGCGGCTAGGATATAAATTTAGAGAGCTGGAAGATAAGGTAATGTCACCTCGCAGTATCAAAGTCAAAGCACACATTATACATCCTCAGCATTATGCATCACGGATTTATCGTGTTCCCATATTTTGGGGTCAGTAAGAAGACATGCCTCCTTGGCGGGTTACTATTGAGAGATAGCACAGTTCGGCACTCGAGAAAACCATGGCAAGTGTTACCCTCAATGGACACTCCCGTCGGTTTTAAAGACTATCCCCGATGTTAGTGAAAGACTAGACAAGGCTATCTCTAACCTACGGGATGTCCTCCGAGAGGAGGAAAAAAGGCAGATGGCTCATATGGACGCAGAAAAAGAGTCATCGATAGCAGCTGTAATGCCACCGAAGCATGTGAAGGAGGGTAATATTTTTAACAAAGTGGGTAAGGACACTAGGCTTTTATCGAGAGAAGCTGAATGGCTTTCTTTGTTTCAAAGGTTTGCCCCTCGCGTTACCACTTGACTCAAACATGGACACTGACAATTCAAGTCTGGGGGTTGGAAAAACGGGGCCTGTTTCCACCACCATCTCGCGGCAGGGTAGCTCTGATATACTGAGGCATAGCTCTGAAAGTCCTCAGCTATCTGATCCAACCAGATGCCCGTCCTGCAAAGAAGCTGGTGAAGTCGCGTATATGTGTCCAGGATGTATGAGAATCACCTATTGCGACAGACGATGCTGTCTTGCAGACTGGTATCAACACAAGTTCTCTTGCGTTTTGGGCAGGCCGATTGACGCTACAGATCATCTAGTTCTCGCCTGTCACCAGAACATCTTTCCGGAGGAAGAGGATGTAGCCAGAAAATTTGGCTTGATGTGCTTTGTCACTGGGACAGATAAATCAAGGCTTATAGTCGATTGGTTAGTTGACGAAGACGAATTTCGTGCTGCCTTAGAGAAGAGGAAGCTCAAGGAGATGCTCATCTTTCGATGCGACCAGACGAACGATCCATTCATGATGAGTGACAAAGATTGGCTCAATGCTGAAGAGAGATTTGAAGTTGATGGGGAACATGGAGAGCTCATCTCTCTTCTCGAGGCAGCTCGAGAAGAATTGCTAATTATAGATGACAAATAGCTACCGCTGGCTGAGCTTCAACCCCGTGAGGAACAACAGGCGCTTCTCCTGTACGTGCAAAGCCGCAATGGTTTCAAGCCAGATGCGGATGAGGACAGTTGGATATCGTTGGGGCTCTGCACGGCCCCAGACGCTGTGACGGAAACCCGCCTCTGTTTGGCCTACGCATTACTCATTCAGCATTGCACTTTTGATGAGTTCTGGAACTGCATGGCCAATTTAAGCATCGTGGAATTGTTCGAAAAACACGGGCTTTCGCATACAGTTTTGCATATGCGGAATCTCAGGTATCACATGGCCTGTGTGAAGAAGTGGTATCCAAGTGTGTGGGAGCTGAAACGATTCACGCGAGTGCAGGAGGCCGATCCTTTCCGAGCTGTCGTTGTCGACTATGGCTTCATGAATTGTACGGGCGCTCGTCAACGCATGTAGCTCCGAGAGATATATCAGCGGTATTTCAACGAGGGACATGATGAGATGAGTCTCCACAAAGCGTGTATCTTGGGAGAATTGGCAAAGTTCCTCGAGTCGGTTCTTGGTGCTCTTTCGGTGCCTTCGCAGATTGTAGTAGGCCCCTACTCATTGGAGGACTTCCCTCTGATGGGCATGATAACGGATTCTGTGGTGGTGTGCCCAGAGTCTGAACCAGACCGGGTCAGACAGTTGCGCGAAGTCGTCGAAGACGATCGGATGATCATCACTATTCCCGATACTGACAACGAAGACTGTATCCAGATACTTCATCAAAGAGCTGCATTCCTAGGTGCGGGGGTAAGAGAACGACATTAGTCCCAAAGGGATTGTCATCGTATTACAGAGTTAAGAATAGACTAGGAATACACGAATAGCGTTCAAAGCTCTGAAGCTGTAAAATAAGTTGTATTTTAGAGGATATTCAAAATTACATTCAAGACCACCAGTGCTCTACAACTACCGTCTTGTATGTTGTAAGGAAGAGCTTGACACGTCCTTGACATAGATACAAGTTTACGGAGAAATGAATTTCCGAGTGTCTCACACCTGGGATGCAGGGTATCGTTAGTCTTGGTGGAAGGTGAGGCTGAAGGCCCCCTCCCCTCATTTTCGCGTGTCCTTATCGCATGAAAAAGCTTGTCTCGGATCAAAACAGCACCATGAGATCTCCAACAGCGTGCTCGAGGTGCAGAAATAGGCGCAAAAAATGCATCCGAACAAAACCCACGGGTCCCTGTGATGCATGCGTCAAGAAACGCATCCACCAATGTTCGCTCGTCAAGATTTCCCCACAGCAGCGACGTATCTCTCCTCGTCACAATCCAAAGGCCCAATACAATGACATGAACCCACAATTCTTTATCTCACATGACCTTATCGAAGAGCTTGTGGATAACTATATTCACTACATACTTGACAGACCTCATACTTTGTTCCATCTACCCTCCTTGCGAGCTGCAGTCAGAGAAGACCGGTTGGGAGATGCCTTACTCTTCGCTCTGCTGGCATTTGGCTGTCGGTTCCATTCTAAGCCCGAAACTTCCTCCCTTGGGCCTATGTTCATGCAAAAGTCCAAACAGTTACTGAAGCAAGACATGGAGAACATCTGCATTGAGAATATACAGACCTGCGTCCTGCTAGCAAATCTATCTTCTTCATCGAAGAATCCTGAGTCAGAAGCAATCTTCGTTACCCTCGGCGTTCGTATGGCTGAGATCCTTGGTCTAGACCAACCAGATCCGGCAGACTCGGAGCTGTTACGTGAATTAAAATGCAGGATCTGGTGGACTTTATTTATGGCAGATCGCTGGAGTTCTATAGGTCGTAACCTCCGTCGCGCTATGCCAGACTTTGACCTGGACACTCCCCTGCCAATGGATGAAGATGTCTTCCACCACATGGATGTTGAACAAGAACAAGGTAGTGACACACCTCCCACACGCCCACGCCCACTGGGACTTTGGGCATACAATGTCATGCTCGCAAAACAATTGGGCCCTATCCAGACCTTGAACAAGCAGTGGGGACAAGAGGACCTCCCTGAGGAATACGTTATGCAACGTGTTGCGGATCTAGCCGAAGGACTACATAATTGGGAAGCCAGTCTCCCCAAGGAAAAGAAGTTCACTGAGGAGAACCTTCGGGTACACAGTGCCAAGGGTCACGGAGGACCTTTCCTCGCTATCCACACAGGCTACCACCAACATTTCATACTCCTACTTTTCAGATTCTTGGATCTCAATCGTCCTCAGACACCAGAAACGATTGAGTATGCCGAGGCTTGCAAAGGTCACGCAAGTGCCATTAGTCATTTGGTTCAACTCTCTCGCCAAGTTCCCCATTGTGAATTGGTGTTTGGAGGAGTAGGGTACATGACAGTTACCTCTTCCGCGGTACTGCTACATCAGCTTATTTTTGACCAACACGATGACACGGCTCATATCCGAGCCCAGTTGGCATCCAACTTTGAAGCCATATTTGAGCTTCAGAAATACTGGCCTTCGGTGTCAAACTCAGTGAGTAGAAAGGACTTATTCGTCTTAATGGTTAAGGTCTGATACAAATATAGGTAAAGCGTCTTGAACTATTCCAAAAGACTTGTACAAGACCTGACGCAATGCAAACCTTCAAGTTTGACAAGTGGATGGTGAGATTCTTGGTGGAACATCACCTGCCGCTGGAAGAGCCTGAAGGTAGCTTATCGCCTGCTGAAGTGCGAGATCACACTACGTGAATTGAAGAATCTAAATATTACATTCTAGGGTGAAGGTTCACATTGAGCACTACGTACCCAGCAATGATGATCAGGATTGTTTTGTACAAGTATCTCCATCGCGACTTTGTTCTTTTCTATTGAATTTGTCTCTAATGTTAGCTGGTAAGGAGGTGGGAGATGAGAGAGCTGGAGTTGAAGCATAAGACGAAGTGGTGAAGAGGGCATCTTAAATTGTACCTACTAAGTCAAAGTCATAGCAGACAGTGGAAACCAGGAAGTGAATGCCTGTTGCCAAAGGTTCTGGGCATATTTAAAAAGTAAATTGAGGTCTTCGTCGAGCCCAACATGATTCCGTCGTGCGGAACGGCTGTAGCGTGTCGAGTCCATGGTCATCATCAAAGGTCTCTGAGTGTGCAACGCTAAACCAAAGACCGTTCATCAATCCTCAGCCCCAGCGTGCCATTGTGTCTTGGTGTCCCCACACGCGTAAGCGGTGATCACAGGGTCCTAGTTCATGCATCCACAAAGTGTGGGGTCGACGTCGGGAAATGCGTCTTACTCCGACAGCGGGAACAGCGTCGGGAAACGCATTAAAACCGCTACGCCTGTGGCTGTAATGTCAACGTCGGGATTTATTTTCTTAGACCGACAATTCCCAAGCGTCGGGAAAGTCTCCAATACCGAAGAATCTGTAATTTCGGAATGGCACGGGAGGCTTTGACAAGGCGCAATGGGGTTGGGTTGAGTTACGCTGCATTTGACAGTTGCTGTTTCCTGCAGTTGGACCGCCGATGAATGTACGTCCTCTGTTCAACCCCAGACAATTCTTCCACTGTATACGTATTACAGTCCATACTGTGCATACTCGAGGTGTGCACCGGGGATCGACAGAACGAGTGACAGCCAACCCTCAGGTTCTTGGTAGCCTAAGCCTTGGATGGGTTTCTTCTGTTGCCCACCTGCAGCCCAGTTTAAGTGGGAGGTGACTTGGATTTGCAATAGAAGCGTTACCAGTCCGAAATAGGCATCTTTAATTACATGCTATTCTTTTTTTTATAGTGGCTAGAACAGTAAGTCCCATATCGGTGTTTCATATAGGATCATGTTCCGGTTGCTATTTTCTTGCTACCTATTACTTGGATCCTAGACACCGGGAGAAATACCTTTACCTGCCGAAAGCATAACTGGTGTTCAAGGGGAAGTCCACTGAGAAGAGACAGCAACGCTTTATAATCATCAACTTACTTCAGACGGTTCTCAAGCTTAAGTAGACTAGCAGAGTTAAGAGATAAGTACACATGTCAGAGGTACCGTAACAGCAAATTGAGGCTCTCAAGACATCCTCATTTGCTTCTTCTAATGCCACACCATTTTATAGCCTGTTCATCTACCGGTGTGTTACATGTCAACCGCGGCCTGTTGATCTCATGCAGAACTGCGGCAAACGGATTTTCGCAACGAAAACCCGTCACTTTCGGTACATACCGACAATCTAGATCATGTCGCTTAGCCCATCACTAGCCCAAATTGTCAAGATTGGTCAGTCGAGAGTTTCACCTCTTGACAGCTCTAAATTTTATCACTGTTACGCCCGCCCAAGGAAAGGCCAATTTGACAGCCTGCATCGTTCGAGGAAGGATTAAGCGGGGAGTCATTGGCTAGTCCATTCCACCCTCCGGATTGTTATCTCCAACATCTGACCCCCCTGTCTTGAAATGAGATGATCAGTGCTCTTTTTGTGGCGGAGAACTTCTGACGTATCCCACCAATTGCCGACTTTCGCCCACTTCAATCCTGAGTCAAGAAGCGGAACTAGGCTAGCAGCTTCTGACCAGCGTCACGACCTAAAATTTGAGGAAGAAACAAGAAGGATCAACTTCTCGTATTACTTAAACATTAAATAGCACTCTTCCTTCTCGATTATGTCAGAGGTCTATTTCTCTTGATCATATCGGTTTTACCATCTATAAGCTTTTTCCAAGCTGATTGGATATTGCGAGATATTGATTTAACCTGCCCAACTCAAGGTATGTGTTCAACATCTTGTGCCTATGTCCTGTATTCTCGAGGACCAATTTTCCAATCATAAGACTGACATCTACTAGAATCAATCTCTGGGATCAGCCATATATCAAGCGCAAGGAGCCGCTATGCATCCCTCACGCAATTCTGTCAACATCCGCTCCGCATCGTCTGCACCAGTCTCAGCTCTTTCAAAGGCGCCAAGGAAAGCTTGCAGAGCTTGTGAGAGGTGCACACGCACCAAAAAGAAATGCGACAAGTCGTTACCCAGTTGTTCACGCTGTAAAAGGTATGCAATAACTTTTCCAGCTCGCCTATTGCTTTGGCTGATCTTTCAGGCTTAAGGGCAAGTGCTGTTATGACTTTATATATACGCCCTCAGTCACCGTTATTACTCGACCGGAGAACCCGGCAGAATCTCCATCTGACAGCAGTAATTGCTCCGTTAGTCAAGACGCTCAAGTAGAATCTCCACCTGGAAGTATACAGACGCAGGGGATATTTATGCCATTCCTTGACATTTCCAGCTCGACGATTTTAAACTTACTTTCCTCCCGCGATACCACTCCGAGTCAGTCTGTCAAACACTATATGGAGACCATAAATCCCTACCTCACTATAGTCCACCCAGAGCTCTTCGCCCTACGCACCAACAACACTGGGTACGAGTCTATTTCCGATCAGGACCTTCACGACCCCGCTGCTACCCTTCTGGTTGTATGCATGCACCTCTTCACTCAACAAGATGGCTCCGTAAAGTCAATGAGTGAAGAAGGTGTTGAGATGCCGATCTATCGGGCTGCCAAGCAAATTCTTGGTATCTTGAGAACGCTCAATACCCCAAGTATAGAGCTCATTCAGTGTTCTCTTCTGCTCGCATTCTACGAGTATAGCCATGGGGATCTTGGACGTGCCTATGTCAGCATTGGAGATGCTAATACCATGGCCCTGGTCCTACGTGTGGGTCCTGGAAAGTACCTTGAGGCTGAGTGGGATGCGTATGTCCCTTATGAGGAAGAAGAAAGTCGCTGTCTTTACTGGAGTCTCTTCGTGCTCGATTGCCTGATCCAAACGGACTATTCTCTTCTTCATATGCCGCATCAAATACCACCTCCAATAGTATCTCCTCCCTTGGCCGATGATCTTCTACCGACAAATCATCTTCTTCGGTTCGATGACGATCAATCGCCCTACTACGTTACTCAGCGATATCCTGCAAATACTGCGTTCTCAGTTCCTGTCGGCATCTTTCAGAGGAATTGCCAATGCGCCATGCTCTATAACCGAACGTCTTTCCCTCAATCCACCTATAAGTCAGCCAGTCCTACTGCAAACCCATTGTCCTCCAGACAATACGATTCTATCTTGAAATGGTCCAGTTCCTTTTCTCCGTTACTATTTGGAACTCATTTATCGACATGGGAACCTGATGGTGTAGAGCTTTTCAGTCCATACGGCGAAGGCATAGCAACGCCTGACACTACAAGCGATATCACTGAATCGCTATTATTATTCCAAAAAGATATTGATGACTTGGTGTTACAGAATGAGACTGAAGCTGCACGTACTACATTCAAGCGATCAAATTATGTTATTTAATCAGTCTTAAACATTATTTTGTATATAAAATATTAATGGCTGTGAAACACTATCGCATCCAATCCTAATTAGATTACTTTGATAGCCAGCCCAAAGTAAACCGTCCAAGACAATGTTACCAGAATGGAACAGCATCATACACGGGCTATGCTGTCGAGTCCATAACATATCGCCAGTACAATGATGCATTCCTGCCAAGACTGATACCTGCCAACTCATAATCCAGGCGTATGTTGCCATCCGACGATCTTCGGAAGCCCAAAAGGTTTCTCGCATCTGGCCCCCAAATTGCGAAAGGATATTATGTTGTATCAGCTAAACGAATACCACAGAAGCGGTGCAGCAGTAAGGGTTGTTACCCTTCAAAAGCGATCAGAAGCTGAAATGCAGCTATTCACAACGGGCGCAATCAGAGGCCAGAACGTGCGAACAAGGTTGTGCAACGTCTTCTTTGACAATGGAACTAAGCTATCTTCGTTCTAGTTATGATAGGTTAAGCCTGGAGGCGGGAAGAAAATGAGGGCTGTGGCGCTGCAGATATCGGGCATGACATGCACTGATTGGCTGATTCTCCGACACCTGGAGGGTCTGTATGCCGCTTATCCGACGCTTCCTCATGTGGCTTAAGGGTCTTGCCAGGGTCGTCTTGGCTGATTGGCTCTTCCTCCGACAAGTGACACTAACCCCGCAAGCAGAAGATACCAGGATCTGACACGGGCTGGACTGGGAAGGGAAGATGGACAGAGAGCGTTTTAACGGGATGCATTGTATTGCTACCGTTGAGCTGTATTTATGAGGCGTAGCTCGGAGAGCTACATTCCAGAACTGTTTCAGTAGCCGTGCCTATCCTGTCTTTATTTGTAAAAGGCTTGTATTGCGGCATCAACCGATTGGGTGGTCAGCACGCTACTGATCTTCCTCGTATTGCTACTGTAGAAAAATGCAATGCTTCTAGACCCGGACTAAAATTTTAGATCCCAGCCACTGACATAAATAAAACGAATGGTGGAGCCTAGCTTACTTGACAACTCTTCTCTTCTCAACATCATTCTTGCCATGAACTGAATCTTCTTTGCAATATCGTAAGCGATTGCTGTTCAGTATGCTCTTCAATTCGAAGAAAGCGAACCTCTGGTTCAGCTGCCTTGTTGCCTGCACTTGTATGGCAGTAAATGGTTATGATTCGTCTACTTTCAATGCAGCGCTGGGGTCAGCTCATTTCATGAACTACTTTGGGAATCCCGTAGGTTCCTCGCTTCGGGCCGTTTAGTCCCTGCCCTGTATTAATACATTGTGCAGTCTCCATCTACGATCGGCTCAGTCAATACTGCCATGGGTGTGTGCGGTATCGTTGCAGGTAATGACCCATCATTCTGAACCATCGACTTCATTCTTACCTTGTTCTTCCTCCAGGCGTTTTCTTCTCTGCTTTAATTTCCGATGGATTCGGTCGTAAGTGGACTATGTGGGCTGGTGCCACATTTGTCATCATCTCAACCTTTGTTTCGACATTCACTCCTCCTGCCATTGGTGGCTTTATCGCTGGTCGTGCCATCACAGGTTTTGGCCAGGGATTAATGATGCCGGCTGGACCAGTCTACATCAACGAACTAGCACCCGCCAAACTCCGAGGTACTATCATGAGCTTCTGGCAGCTCTTCTTCGCCTTGGGATCCTTTCTCGCATATTGGATCAATTACGCGTGTTCCAAGAATGCTGAGAGACTTGGAGAATGGGATTGGAAGATTGTCATGCTGTTTCAAATCTTCTGTCCCATTGTTATCATATCCGGACTTTTCTTCTGTCCTGAGACACCAAGATGGTATGCTATTAGGCACCCCACTGTCAGGCAGGTAGGATGCCATCATCAACGTCATGCTCACCAAGCTACAGGTATATGCAGAATGAAAGATTCCAGGACGCTCACGAAGTTCTCTTGGCGATTCACGATGACCCAGACCTTATTGCCCATGAATTGGAAGAAATACGACAAGCTATTGCCTTTGAGAAGAAACAGACTAGCAGCACTTGGTCCCGATACAAGCTACTGTGGACGGATAAATCTGTGAGAAAGCGAATACGTAAGTCTTCTTGTTTACCGTTGATGGTCATCATCTGACTTAGTCAGTCCTCGCGGCTGCCATCAATATTGGACAACAGCTTACTGGAAACAACTCCCTCGCAAGCTACTCAACCATTATTTACAAGAAGGTCTTTACTTCAAACAGCCAGATCCAGCTCATCAACGCTTTGGGTGGAACCTTCAATATTCTCTTCACTCTGAACGCTATCTGGATGGCGGACCTGGTGGGACGAAGACCCATCCTCCTCATTGGCGTTGCCGGTCTGGCAGTCTGTATGTTTTCAGCCGCAGCGGTAGTCACCGAGACCCCAACTCTTGAAGATGGATCCAAGCCTCAGAGCGTTGGTATCGCAACAGTCTTCTTGTTGTATCTGTTTGCTCTGTTCTTCAAGCCCTCTTGGGGTGCGACAGTATGGATCTGGACTTCAGAAATCTTTTCCATGAACGTTCGTGCGCAAGCTGTCGCCATGACCACTCAGTGCCAATCCATCGCAAGCATCATTCTTCGTAAGCATCCCTTCCCCCTTCACCCGACCTGGCAACTAACAAATTTTCCAGAACAGATTTTCCCCATCTTTCTCAGTAAGGAGGGATTGTAGGTTACTCGAATTCTGCCTAAACTATCGATATACTAACCGTTTTCGTAGCTACGCTATGTATATGTTTGGTGCTATCAATGTGGTTCTCTTCGTCTTCGTTTGGTACTGCATCCCAGAAACCAAGGGTGTGTCTCTGGAGCACATGGACATACTGTTCGGTGGTGTAGATCACGCAGATGTAGGAGCAGCCATCGTCAGAGACGAAACTGTCGATAATGAAAAGGCATCCTTCCATGCCACTGAGACTGCGATGGGGCGTAAGGTCCATTCTAGCATAGCTGTGTAAGCTTATTTCATTAAATTGAGAGCACAGCATGGTAAGGTCAACATATACTTCTTTAGCATATGCCCTCGTCAGTCAGCAGAAGTAGAATATAGTTGACACAGGTAATGACTATTTAAATTGATACTTATACAATCCCCTTCCTAACACGGTACAAGTTGATCAGTTCGCTTCGATAACGATAGCATCATCAACATCAAACTCCAGACTCTGACATTCTCCACGAATCTGAATACTTGGTCCCAAATCAAGGAAGTCTTGACTCCAAGTACAGGACATCGTGAACTGCGTCCACACACCATAGGGGCCTGCCCATTCCTCGCGCTTGAAGTGCCCACCACCTGATCCGCAGGTAATATGTCGCGTATTGCAATTGTTGGCCACGGTTGTCTTGATCCAGATTGAGTATGTGTACTCTTGGTTAACTGTGATCAAATCACGATCAATAGGATGATCGACGCCCAAGACTACTGGGCCGTTGAGATCGGCAGAGTAGTGGCCCGAGTAAGCGCCTGAATGGGTCTCTTCGTCGGTAAGGGTAACCTCTCCGAACTGGCCGATCCGGTGCCAAGGAGAAACCGAGGCTGATTCAAATCCGGGGTTGGCAAGAACGTTTGTCGGCTCTATGACAGACGTCGTGGTTGTTGTAGGTTCAGCGCTGGAAGTCTTGACCAAAGTCGTTGAGATCTCTGTTTCAGGTGCAAATGTAGGAATTGTCTCGGAAAGAGCTGTTTCGGTCTCTGATACAAAGGTTGGCTCCGACATAGAAGTAGTAGATGTTTCAGTCAACGAAGCACCAGTGGATAAAGCATCAGTCTCCGATACAGACATTGACTCCGAGATGGAAGTACTAAATGTTTCGGTCAAAGGAGGACTGGTGGACGAAACATCAGTGGATGAAGCAAGGGTAGGTAGAGCGGTGATTTCAACCGAGATTGTGGTGAAAGTGGAAGAAACAGGCTTGCAGGGCGATGCAGCGCCGAGTTGACATATCGCCAGAAGCGGAAGAACAAATACTTGCAACATATTCAAGATCAGAAACGATTGTAAGGTAAGAGAAGGCTGAGAAACGAGAAAGAAGAAAGACAACCAAGGTATAATAATATATACAGGCGGTTGTCTCAGTGCATTGTGGGAGAATTTAAAATTACTGTGTAGTCTAGAGCGTAAACTATTGAGTAGGGTGGAGCAATTATCGAAAGTGGCGTTGGTATGGAAAGACGCGTATGGATTGTCAAAATTAGCAAATGTCGTCTCGGTTATTGCCCTGTATCTCACCGCTAACCTTGTAGCTAGAGATTATAACGCTCTACAAGGATAGAAGCTGCCGCTACTTGTAACTTTACTTTGACCTGTTTGTTCTTACCTATTATCAAAAGCTTACAGCGCGTAGATAGTTAATGTTCTTATTTTGGGGAGTGATGCTGCACCTGCGTCGTTCTGTTTCCTCCCAGTTACGTTCAACACCTGTTCTTACAGACTAGCGTTCGCCATCGCGGCCTAGGTAATTAATTTTTGACATCAACATTGCGACTTCTCTGACCTATGCATTCCCTGGCTCAGCTGGGCATCAACCAATATACAAAGAAACAACGCCGGATAGGATAATTCCGTAAGCTCATTGCGCCAGTGCTGTCTCACATACAGATCCTAGATATAAGCAATCATACTGGTGAGTCCCTGTCAACAGTTAGATAGCCACTCGTAAAATTCTCTCTATCCTCTATAACAGCTAAAGATGGTGTAACTCTGTCGAAGTGTCGAGTATATCAGTTGCTGAGGTTTAGAGATACTGTGTATAGAACACTAGTAGCATTGATTCAGTAGTTCCATCTACCGCTGTTAGAATTTGTGAACCACTTGTTCGGTTAGATCCGTTCTTCTCGACCAGTCGTACTTGAGGACTGAGTCGCTATGCGCTTCATTAAGTATTCCATTCACCGCAATATAACTCGTTCGATATCACTAACAGAGCCCCTGAACTTGTTCACCGATTACCTGCAGAGGCCCGACTGTGTCGCATACCTAACAGTGGGGTATATGAAGACGAGAAGTCCGCCTTAAAGCAATGCCAACGTCACAACTCAACACAGCGACGACAGCCAAAGCATTCCAGCATCACGAAAACAGAAATAAACTTTCAACACCTATCAACAATTCACCAACTCTCAAAATTGGCACCATAACCGCTCAGACCAAAAGCTACAAGTACACACGCGGAGTAACACCACTGTATGTCGATGCCAATAGGGTGAAATTTATAAAAGCCCTAGATGCGATATATGGGAAGGGCAACTACAGTTGGGACAGGACTTCAGACATGATTGTAGTTCGCGTCAATCACCCACAGCCGGACGATCTCGAGGCCGAACTGCAATTACGTAGTTTCATTCCACTGGCAAAATAGTTGCATAGCATTGCAGTTTATCTGAATTCTTTTCTTCGTTGACGATGGAAGCTAGTGGGTGAAAGAAACTGCTAAAGACCAACAGTTGAATAAAGAACATTTTGCTCTCAAAAGGGCGATGCTGATGCCTGTATCACGCAGAGAGCTAAAGTTGCGTGGAAGAAATGGCTGCATATCCAGTGGCATCTGTAGGACCACAACCCAACTAAGCAGCCTCAGGCTTCCGACCCCAGATAACCTTCTGCTTATAATACGCATGAATTTTAGGCGAGCGAATCTCACGACGATACTGGGCCATAAAGACAGTGACTTCCTCCTCCGTCCATCCCAAAGCGGTCGCAAAATGTAACACCGTCCCTTTGCCGTCTTCCTCAAGAGCTGCTTGCGTATACTGCCCAACGATCTTTGCTTCCGGGTCCTCGGGCCATCCACCAACTGGATTCTGTAAACTATTAGTGACATTCAACTTTATTGAAGACTACCGGTTCAGAGTCAGCGAGCACCCCGAACATTGAGACGTACCTTGAAGTCCCGCTCCTCAATATCGACAAATCCAGCTTCCTCCATAGCCTTCCTCTGAAGCCTGTCTTTGAATACTGTAAAAGGACGACCCATCTTACGACCACCTTCGACAAAGAATTTCTGCCACTGGCTCATTGCACTCCCGGGCAAGACACTGTTATCGTCGCTCTCGACAGTGGAGGATGGTTCGTAGCTCTCAACCCAACCGCCAGGCTTGAGACTTTTGTAAGCTTCTTTAAAGAGACCTGTCCAGTCAGCAATGCTGCCGACAAGCCAGCGCATGTGAACGTAGTCAAGCGAATTGGGTGCAATAGTCCATTCTTGAGTGCAGTCATCGATTTGGCTATGTATGTTGTCAGCAGCTCAACAAGGTAAAATGATCAGTATCGACTTACAACTCAAGGTTGGGAGGAACCCAGCCTGGTTGGATTGGAGCGAGATCAGTCCCGATGATTGAAGCGTTGGGAAATTTATCTGCGAATTCGCTGATTGTTTTAAGCTTTATGTACTCGTCGGTTGGGATCTAGGAGCCTTACATAGCCCAGATGCCTGTTCCGGTTCCGATGTCTGCCGCTGCCTTATTGTCTCGTCAGTCAAGACATTGCACTCGGACCATCATCTCTTACCTGAATGTCTTGTGAGATCGGTGCCAAATAGAGCTTGTCTCCCATCAGTAGAGTGAGCACATGGTGGCTGTGTATAATTAGTTCAGGTCTTTTCCGTGAGTTGTTGTATAGCTCACTTGATGTCCATGGCTGCCTGCCCAGTCTCATCAATGGGGCCCCTACGTCAAAGTCAGTGGCCAGTCATTGTAGACAGACGTCTCGACGAACCAGTAGTCAGGGTTTCCCTTCTCACTTTGGTAAAGTCTACCATGGAGCGTTCTGTACTTCAGAATACTAGACGACAAAGAGGCAGTTGAGCTACCGTTATCGGATAGAATTGAGTCGGCATCATCTTGATCATCAGCCTCCTGCTCATATTAGTTTAGCTTTACAATTACAAAAGGTGACGTCTATTTCACTCACCTCATTCAACTGCGCCCAATGCTCCGGCGGCAAAAGACCACTTTCATTGTCTACAGGCCCAGCCGTGGCTTTGGGTGATGGTGGTCCAGGATGGACAGGCTTCTGAGGAGAGGTTAGACCAGACATCTTGCTAAGCGGTAATAGACTGGGCAAAGAGACATTGAGGACCGAGACGAGGGGAAATCATGCTAAATATTCAACAAACTCCACGTCAGGAGACATGTTGTGTCGTTTCTCATAAAATGTTCAACCAACATGCCGAACCAACAATGACTACCGGGTTCCGTGTCAGCCAATAGAATGTGAACCCAGTCCTGGTGCCCCGCGAATGCGCATCGGGGGACTTTCCCCGTCGACATGTTTGAAGAAGGTGGCATTTCAGCCCCACCCTGGTTTTTGTATAATAGAACAAAGGAGCATAAGGGGGGGAAAAACGTTAAAGTGGACTAACCGGGCGTTTTACCGGCTAAAATCGCTTAATTTAATAGAGACTTCCCAGAAAACTGTTAGAGAAAGGCTATAAGGTCATTTTCAAATTGATTGATAAATTTTCTGAGGGATGATCTCTATCTCCGCTCTCACCTGCAATTGCACGGTTGGGTAGCTAGGCTGGATGCACCATTTCGCTGATGCTACTGCATGTTGGTTGTCAATACATGCAAGAATGTGGCACGGACTTACGATAACGGTACCAGCAAATAATCCAAAGGTAACCCAATGACAACATTACAAGCTTTGATGAGAGGGGGCGAACCAATCTTTCTCTGTACTGGTCTACTTCTATGCGTGAAATGGAAGTCAATATGAAAACGAGGATGTTGAATCGGGGGGAGTTACTGGCTAAAATGCTGTATAGTTCATTGCTCAGCGATCGATATTCGAAGGCCTTGTATTTTTCAAACATCATTTTCTTACTCCACAAACAAGCATGTTTCAGTCTAGACTTCTTAGGTTATGGAAACGAAATTAGACGTTACTGAAAGGGGAAGGTCTGTTGGATGTTGTGTTTGATCCTCCAGACAAAAGCAAAACATTACCCCACAAGAAGGCAATTCGGCGAAATAAGTGCTCGTTTAATTTTGATATAAGAGGGAACTTGGTTCGAGAACCTAATACCTACCTACTCCTCTCATTGCCACTCTTCCAAGTCCGTTGCCACACTCTTTAGCATCCTCTTCACAAAAATACCATGGAATCCGAACGTGGTAGTACCCAGCCTATCCGGCGTAAGCCCATGAACACAGCCGATGCTGTTACTCAGCCCACTGGCATTGATTCTAGGTCAGTTGAACCTGCAAGTGAGCCGCTTCTTTCAGACCAAGAAAACGACCCAAACACTCCTACCAAAACTTTCGATCAAAAACAATCCCCCAACCTTGTTAGTGTAGTGCCCGCCAACGACCAAACTCTCAGTCCGACTTTGAATCAGGAAGATTTTGCCACTGGGGGATACAAGACAGAGAAAGCCAGTCCCTGCGCGGAAGCTATTAGCTCAAGTAGGCCAAGCTGGGAACAAACCATGCGGCGTATTATCGAGGGTTGGTGGCAGGAGATGCTTTGCTGTTTGATCAGCATCACCGCTTTAGTAATCCTAACGATCCCCTTGAAGAAATTCAATAATCAACCTCTGCCTGATTGGCCATCCGGGATCACTTTGAATACAGTTCTAGCTTGCATAGCCACCACATGCAGAGCTGCGCTACTTATTCCTGTAACAGAAGGCTTAGCACAAGCCAAATGGATTTGGTTCAAGCATCCACGGCCGCTCAAAGATTTTGAAGCGTTTGACAGGGCGTCAAGAGGCTTAGGCGGTAGCTTAAGCTTGCTCTCTCACACCAAGGGATGGTAAGCTCTGCGACCCAGATACCTAAAATCGTACAGTTACTCACAAGAATAGGTTCGTTGGTATCATCGCTGCATTTCTTTTGAGTACCACGATTGCCACATCAACAATCACTCAATTTGCAGTCACATACCCGTCTAGACTTAATCAAGATGGAAGCAAGGGAAGTGCGGAGGCATGGAGGTTAGGGGAGAGCTGGGGGAAGGATGAGTCGAATTATGCTTTCAGTAAGTCACCCGCTTCTTATCCCTCGCTTATAACAACACACATGCTGCAGCATGAGATTGGTAAATATCTGACAAATATGAATAGTGAACGAGCCAGCAATTGCGAGAGGTGTCAGACGAGGAATCCATAATTTAGTGACTGAAACGATCCCTTTTAGAGAACCGAAGTGTGCCTCGGCCAATTGCAGATGGCCAGAATTCCGCACGCTTGCTATAGGCTACAAGGCTACGAGTACGTTATAAATCACCCCTATAAGGCAGTTGCCCTTCGTGTCTAAGATTATTCCCAGATGTTACCCACCTGATCGAGGCGGATGTCAATTTCCACGATGGTAATCCCAATATCACTCTGCCAAATGGCGTTCATACGGAACCGGGCAAAAGTCGTGCCAGATACACTGGCGCCCCAACATTTTTCCTTGGGAGTGGGCCAACTCTAGTACATCAGCATTTGCGAAATGCATCAATTCTCGATTACTTCGCCATTTATTGGGAACCATCTAACATCTTGCCCTGGGCAGTTGAAGTTTCCTTCTATTGGTGCATTGACACTTATCATCCTGAACTAGTCGATAATGTCCTTCGCATGAACAAGTCGGCATCCCAGATCCCGAAATTACACGCATTGCAAGGGGATGACTATCGTGGATACGTGTCTTTGGAATCACCAGACAAAGACGACGTCACGTGGACCATTGGTGGGCTATCTACGAGAACAATAGCAACTCAGTTAAACGAATCGCTAAGTGGCTACACTGTCGTTCTAGCAGGAGAACCAATGCGTGGTACATCAGGGAGTGACATCCTAGCACAAGCCACCAAAGAGGTTGCACAAAAGCTTGCGAAGGGTAATTCCACGCTTGAAATCTATGAGGCAGAGAAAGCTTGGTCGACCGCCCTGGAGGGCCTGTCGGCGAACGTGGCCAACAGTCTTACAAACACGTAAGTTCAGCCACTTCTTCAACTGTTGCGCTATACCCTAATACTGGCTCAAACAGACTCCTTCCTGATCAATCTAACATCAATGGTCTATCTTTAAATACCGAGGTATACGTCCTGGTTCGGTGGGAATGGCTGGCACTTCTAAGTGTGCAGGTTGCACTCTCCATCTGTCTTCTGATTTGCATTATTGTCGAGTCAACGAAGGCAGAGGTTGAGGTTATGAAAGGTTCGACAGTACCAGTATTGTTTGCCATCAATGCGGCAGACAAGGCTAGGATGGAAAATGGGGACTTTGATTCAGATTCATTAAGACAGATAGAACATCAGCAGAAGCTGGCTCACGTTAACTTACGTAGGGTCGGTCGAAAATGGGTCTTAGAGTAGAGATGGCCTCCAGTTAGGTGATTTTCAGAGATGAACAATAGACTAAGCTTTTTTACAGTATACAGTTATAGTTAGTTCTCATTCTCTATTATAAGAAATTTCTCTATATGTTTTCGTAAACCTCTTCTTATTCTTGCACTCTGCGTTGTAGCGGATCAATTCTGTCTCTTTTTTCATTTATTGGAGCTGAATGGAAATGTCAAGCTTCACTATAATAAATAATAAGTGCGTGAGTCTTGGCAGTGGTACGCACTAGCGCAGATACCAGGCCTTTAGTCTAACCACCGGAAACTCCTTATTCCGCTTAAAACTGACCCTAGTCGCCCCAATCTTTTGAATTTTACGTGGATAGCGCATTCGACCGTGACTCAGGATCCGATCCCCTATCCGTCAACATCAATGGAAGTGGTAAACGATGTTGGCGCCAATGAGTACAGTGTTTGTTTTACTCGTTTTGCTTGTCGCGCCGACCACGAGCACCTTTCTACAGTGGTCGCTCTGCGATGACAGTCGCGGTAGTGGAACCATACCTTATATGCTACACGCGCGGCTTACAAGAAACGGGACGACATCGCGGTTAAATCTCAAGTTGACCCGACACCAAAGTGGAATCACTTGTCATGACACCCCAGGTTCCACGGCCCTCGATGAAGATGCATGGCCTGAAGCAATGGTGCAGCTCCGCTGGAACGGACTGCGCCGAACCGAGAGCTTCTCCACCAAGACCAGGATGCAGCTCAATTGTCGAGACTTTATTGGCGACAATCGACCTGTCCCACTGCCTATTAATTCAAGCAGCGTGAGTATGACACTTCTAGACGATGATATTGGGGAGCTGCCTGCACTGTCGACCCTCGGCTTCGAGGCCCAGCTCGAATCCACCGTCTTTGCTGACACGCAATGCATCGCTTCCCTCATGACGCCCGCCATACCCCCGGCCATCTCGTCTGGGCTCCGTTACGGGTCGCTAGGCATCTTCCTCTTTGTATTCTTCGTCTCTGTTCTACGAACCATAGCAACAGTGCCCGGCCTGCAACACCGGAACGAGAACGACAGCACGCGTAGCAACGTGGCCTCAAACGCAACCGTCCTTCCTTCTGTCTCCAACTGCCTCCATTTCCTCCAATTCATCTTCTTGACTGGTGGACTCAGCTTATCGTACCCAGGCTTCTACCCAGCTGCAGTTGCCCACCTGAATTGGTTTGCTCTCTTTGCCGATCTGGCGCTCCCAATTAGGAGCTTCGTTCCTCCGCCGATCACTGGGGTGGTGATCATGGCATCTACATACCCTGGCGTGAGGGACGGCCTGTACGAGGTCAATGGCACCTACGGCGGCTACCCCGGACTAGAGGTCATGACACAGATGGTCGGTGCCCCTATGACATGCGACACGTGGCTGCTTATGTTGTGTTTCATTGCCAGCATCGCCATGATGCTGGGTCTATTCCTTTGGCTGCTCGAGACACTGCGCCCGCGAAACGTTCTAGGGTTGCCGTTGTTGGGTCCCAGTGACAGGACCCTTGGGATGCGTATAGGTAATGGTGTACTCAAGCTTGTGCTTTCGTACATCACCCTTCCGTTAGTAGCACTGTCAATTTACCAACTCAACTTTTCTGGGACTCTTGGCGCAGGCCATGTCACGCTCACAGTAGTCGTCCTGGTCCTTATCCTTTTAGCTTTTGCCTGGGTCGCGGTCCGTCTACCATCAGAAAACCTAGGCGCACTGGTGTTCGAGGCCAAGCTTCAGTACCAACACGTCGGAGGAGACGGAGGTCAAGACTTCGAGGAGGAGAAGCAGGCACGGCGCGAGCACGGGTACGTCATAGTCCTATTTGTGTTGAACATTGTAAGGGGCCTTACTATCGGCGGGTTGCAAAACTGGGGGGTGTTGCAGTTTACGATCCTCGTGGTATGCGAGCTCGTAATGCTAGTGACTATCCGGGTCTTCAGGCCATATTCACTGCTGTCAGTCGGATTTGCAACTACGCTACTAAGATTGGCTGTTCTTGCGTGCTTTGTGCCTTTTGTATTCCCTCCGTCCAAGATGTTAAGTGTAAAGAGCGTTTCTGCCTATATTGCGCTATCTCTATACGTTGTAGGGTTGATAGGCGTCTCATTTACACCATCATGCTGGCACCTATACCGTCTTGTTCGGCAACGTTGGAACATTGAAAAGGTAAGATCTTCTCGCGACTATCCCCTTTCGTTACGAATCCGTGAGTTGTTTGTTGCTAACTGATCTCAGGATGCTCCCGTGTTTAATCTCCGCCAGCTGCAGCGCCGCGAAACGCCTATGCCCTGGCAGACTGATGACTCTCCCTCACGTCCATCTATCGACAGGAACTCTATCCTGATACGCGACCGCTTACCCTTTGGTGACGAACGGGGTCTTTGCCATGATATATCGCCTCATGGCTTCAACCAGTCCACTTCTTCTCTGAATCCACACTTTTACCGTCCCCCAAGATCGCCTATTCCCACCGCCCCTGGTGAGATGTCTCGCTTCTTCGACGACCGCTCTCAGGACTCAGGCTTAGTGTCTCCCTCAATTACACTGTCAGTTGCAAACTGGCCCTCGGTCAGTACTGACAGTGAAGGGTTGCTGGGTCAGACGGTCGGACAATCATCAGACTCTGCGTCTGTGGCTACTAAGGCTGGGAGCTCTAGACCACTCGGCCCGAGATGGGACGACTATTCTTTTCGGGAAGTAGATTTAATATTTGCCGCTCCACCACCCGATGCTGTTACTACAACTTCACCGCCACAGCTTCCTTCTACATCCTCCTCGACAGTTAAAAGGCAGATACTAGACTGGAGCCTACCAAGCTTGTGGAACTTCGTTAGGCAGAAGTCAACTGTCCAAGAACAAGGGTTCTCAGTTCAGAGGCCAAACAGAGTTCCACATAGGGTCAGTAACTCGGTAGTAAGTCAAGCTGATAGGTCGGGTAGCCAGCTGAGAGTAATTGAACAAGGTAGATAGTTTTTTCTGGTTCTATTGTAGTTAAGAAAAGCGGTAAAAACAATACAGTAAATGCAGACATCATATCATACGCTTTGATCCTGGAAGAGATCTGCAGATCTGAACGCTGACCACCATGACCCCGCTTCCCGCGCGTTCCGTTCTTGGCTGACACCTACCAAACCCGTATGCGTGCATAAATAACATTTCGACAAGGTCTCTGGACGTATCTTTGAACTTTCACCTAGTCTACCAACACAAAATATTCGAGGACAAGCCTACCCAATATGTCACCGATCATCCACTGCGTGCGCCATGGCCAGGGCGTTCATAACCTCAGCTACGCAAATCATGATCTGCCTGATCCCGAACTGACCCCTCTTGGAGAGGAGCAAGCCCGGGCTCTGACCACTAGGTTCCCTGACTTGGCCAACGTTGAACTCATCGTGTCCTCACCACTACGACGTACGATCCAGACTGCTCTGTTGGCGTTCCCGTCGAAGCTTGAAGACGGCATGCAGGTTTTAGCCTTACCGGAGGTGCAGGAAGCGAGCGAGCTGATCTGCGATACCGGCAGTCCTCTTCCTGATATTAAAGCCAATTTTGATGGTCTTCCCGTGGATTTCAGCCTTGTCGAACCGGACTGGTGCATCAAGGTATGTGACATCAATTCTTTACATTCTGTGCAAGTCTAATCAGATTTTGTGATACAGCAAGGGAAATGGGCGCCGATTGCGGCTTGCCTCTTAGAAAGGGCTGCGCTGGCCCGACGTTGGTTGAGCGAAAGGGCTGAAGCTGAAGTCGTAGTGATTTCGCATGGTTGTTTCCTGCACTTTCTGACGGATGACTGGGTTAATGCTGTTAACTCTCAAGGTGGGTTATTGTTCACACTGCAATAAATACTAATATTAATGACTGGTGTAGCAACTGACTGGGCTAACGCAGAGGTTCGCTCTTTTACCTTAGCTTCCGATATTCATGGAGGTCATTCTCTTGATGAGTCTGAAGGATCTAGAAAAAGAAGAGGATGTGGACAAGTCGCTTTGACAAAGGAGCAACAGCTAGATCTACGGGATACAGTACTCAAGACATGGATTGAATGGGGGGTGATAAAAGAGTGAATTAAATGTTCTAGGATAAGAGGGATCGTCTAAATAAATATACAAAGTACTACATAATTTGAATTAAAGACCATGAGTCTTTGCACCAGGGAACTTCTTCTGCAATCCCTTGGTAAAGCTTGTTCCACCTACAGTAAGTTCCTTGAAGGTAGGGCATGACACCAGATCCAAGAGAGCAGTATCGAGAGTATCTGTGACAAGCTTCAGAGGGGTTGCGACGATGGCGAATAGACTAGAAAGAGCGTTGGGACTAGCTGTCTTGACAGCCTCAAAAGCGAAACACAAGAGATTGTTGCCCTTGAGGAGGTCAGGGATATTCATGACTCCGCCGGTGATGTTGCTGATATCGACGCTGGCGTAGGTGTTGACCTCTCCAGCGTTACCGCCGATGCTATTGTGGTCAGTACATGTCTTTTGCGAAACGAGTAGCAAACTTACCTTGAGAGCTCTGGATAGGCGGTAATCAGTTTGACGACGTCCGCGATCGCTGACGCGAAGCCATAGTCGACGGATCGACGGTACCAGTTGTTGGGAATCCTCTCCCATCCTCGCTTGTAAGTGAGCTTTCCACCTTCCTCCTTGACAGCGAAGAAGGTTTTCAATGTTTCGCGGTCTATACATAGTTAATATCGTTCTCTTCTGTATAAGAGTGGTAAACATACCCATAATATCTTCGTTGCTTCCCTTTGTATGGTTAGACATCATACGGGATGTAAAGAAGTACGCAGCATTGCGAATAACCATGCCGGTCAAGGGTCCATAGTAGAATTGAGGGTTGGTAGCGATGCTCTCGTGGAACCGATTCTTGGCCCGTTCAGTGAAAGTGTCGAAGTCGTAGGTGCCTTCATCAGACGCCATGTCATAGAAAGACTGGAACAGATCCAGATTCATGGTAGAAGGATCTCCAGTGACGTAAAGGTCGTTTCTGGTATTGGATCCGTCGCCCTCGATGACGTTGTGAGAGGCATCCAGACCTCTTGGCTTTCCCAATAGTCCAGCCAAGTTACCCAGAATATTATTCGAGCCCTTGGGAGCGCCTCCAATTGAGAAGCCAGGCTTGAGAGACAAAGGGTTGCCAACATAGACTGTGCTCAGGGTTCCGAGGACGGTCGCGATGTCGATACCCATTCCAAAGACTTCGTTGGTAGCGCCGACAATCTCTACCAAGCTCGTGACACCGCTTCGTTGAATGTAACCATGGTTCGCTAACGCGTTGAGTCCTGGGCAGGACCCGCGTTGGTCGCCCTTGTCGAAGTTCGGGGGTTGGAACTCGTGTTTGCCGGTTACGTCGATGGGTTGGTTGACTGTATCCAATACCAGCCTCTTCTCGTGGGTTGAGCGGACGGCTTCATCCACTACGCTGGAGAGCCTAGCAGCCGTGACATGGTCGACGGCGCCTTGAAGATAAGAAGGGAATGCATAGGCCTCGTCGGCTATGCAAGCGACAACCGGTAAAACTTGATACCACTTCATGTTTGAACTGAGACAAAGGAGTGTGTGCAAAGAGTTTGAGGTCGCAATGGTGGATGAACAATAGTTCAAGTCTGACTGGATGAAAGGTGGAAACAGAACGTCTTTATTTAGCTGTTTTTGGTTTTATTCATCACGTCACCTGAATGGCGAAAATGATGATCTTCGGGCCTCAATCTAACTAACTAAGGTCGTAGTTAATGCTGTACCTGCACCGTCTCTCTAGGTCGGCATATAGTATCCGTGCAGCAGACTGAAGAAGTTGGCTTGGCAAATGTTAGCTTGAAACGATATGTGGTTTTTTAGCACTGCTAGGCCCAGCGACTATTCTCCTAGTCTCTGCCCAGATCTACATTAGTGACATTTTTAGCGTGAGTACACGACGAGGTTACCAAATAGAACAAGCCTTCCATGACTAGTGAGCACCGGGACCCCTGAGTCGAGTCATTCTTTTCCTTTACGGTTAGATCGGTCTATCCAACCTCTAATACTAAAAGAGCTTTACATGCTATCACTATCTTCCAAGAAAAAGGTCTAACTTGATGATGTTCAGCATTGATTTTATAAGTTTCTACCTAACACTAATACCCATTTAATCTTGCCGACATGTCTGAGTGTCACGGTTGTCATGCTGTCCGTATTCGGTCTTTGACAAGCTATGATACTACAGATAACGCACCTCGTAAGTACTCTTACATAGCACAAATAATTTATGCCCTTGAGATTTTCAAGCAAAGGGTTATGTAGAAGTCGGCTACCAGAGCACAAAAGAAGTCCCCACAGGCATTGTATGCTCCTGTATGCCAGCCATCCGCTCAGGCCGCTCACTCCTTGGTACAGTCTTCCCGGGTGGGTGGCGCGACAAAGAAGAGTAAGGAGGCGTACGCCACCATCGTGCACAACACTGGGCCTTCACCAAGATCTCACATTCAGGGCTTCAAGGGTCTGCTAAGCCTGAGCAACGGGGTCAGAGCGCATTTTCTGGGTAATTGGTGCGCGATGACTCGCCAGCATTGGAGCTAAATAATGTGGAGCGGAAGGATTTTGAGAATCGACAACGGGAAGGAAGAAAACCCACAAGTCCATCAAAGTCAGTGTAAATTAGCTAATTGACAGCCTTCTTCACATCATCGTTTCAGACTCAATTATAGCTATTGATACATAAAACGTTACTGTGAGTAACCTTTTTCTAGATGTGCCTGTCTCCTTGATCGCCAGATGTGCCACTAGCAGACCCCGAGTATCGTCTCTCCCCTTGTCCCCACCTTCAAAACTAGTGTCTTCTTACGGCTCTCATTGTCTGTACTGAATCAGACGTATGACCATGAAGAGCGGCAAGAAGTCCACTGTTCCCTCAGAGCCAACATTCATGACTCGATTGATCGCCTCTTACGATCAGCTTTTCAAGTTCAACCACGAATATACGGAGTAGCTGTTAGTAGAACCAATGATGGTGAAAGCACTGCCGGATGGGTGGTCAGGGTGGTGTCTGTCCTTGTTGCCACTTGCAAAAGTAGTGTAATTATTCTCGAAGTTCGTCGATCTTTTTCTAGCCTAATTCTTTGGTATGTATTTGCCTCTAACGCGTTAACTATCAAGACTAAGACGAGAGCGGGCATCTTCTCGTCAGATGCGTCACTAGCAGAGTAGCAGTAGCTGACTCTTGTAAGCGCAGCCGTCAGCCCCTGACTTGTTCAATGAAGAAGGAAGGAGACAATTTCAACTAGCTTGGGAACTATTGTTTCTCGCCGTAGTCTAGTGTACTGAATTAACCGCCCCCCCTGTTGTTGCACAATCGAAATTAGCTTAGTGTGTTAAAAGATTCCCCTCGATATTGCACGATCAAGATTAGTGTCAACTAAAAGTAGTCAGCCCTGTAGCCTTGCCACTCTGGCTTCGCACTAACTTTGTTGATCCGCCGCGTTGATGAAGATCACCACACAGAAGAAGTTAACATAACCCGCAGTGCGATTTAGTTAAAAAGCGTCGGCTAGATTTACGTAATAAGAAAACACTCAAAGAGGACTGGCATGCATCATCACAAGCACAGAAGTATAGATTACATTCCCCAGAAGTGTAAGAGAGCACCAGGGATACCTCTTCTCCAGCACATCGTATTTGCCACCTGTAGAGCAGAGCAACTTAGTTCTAGGTAACTAATAGGTAAGTTTCTAGAAGGTTTCTATACAGCGTGGCACACGTGCGCTATAGCGGAACATGCCCTCTTATACCCCTACGGAGTGTAACAGGCAGATATGAAACCCAGGTTAACAAAGAGGGGCAACACTCCCCCTTCTTAAAATGTATTTAATAAGACCTACTATTCTTCAGATAATAAAAGAGCGCTGGGAAGTACAGTGACTGCAATGATTGCAAGAGGGGTTAGGTTAATCTACAAATAGCTCCAGCTATGTTAAGTTTTAAAATTGAAAGGACAAGTAAATTGAATCAGTACGTTATTTTAACACGATATGCATACCTAAAGAGGCTGATAGTAATAAGTCAACTACTACTTAATTAAGTAAGCTTTAATATTACAAATGTTAGGGTCTAGATAAGGCTGAAGCTACTTAACGGCTTTATATCAGCATTTTGACCGGGCTACGTTCATCTACTCACTTTGTCTAATGTAGTGTTGGAATTGCAATTGGGACGGGGGTAGGAAGTCCTTCACCTTCTCTGGAAAATGGTTCACGGCGCTAAAACAATGTGCGCAAAAGGATTTGTCCAAGAGTTTCAATTACATATATACAAATCAACTTGTCGCAGGCGCGACGTAAACTTCCACCCTTCATCGCTACACCCAAACGCCCCAGTAACATAGAGTAATATTACAAGACCGGATCGTCGATGTGACAAGAACATCTACAATCCGTGACAGTACAAGAAGATCCTCTCTTCTTTTTCACTAGATAGATTCTAAGTAACCTGTTATCATCCAGTCTTGGAGTAAAAGGGCGTATCACTTACCAATTTTGGCACCCTCCTCGACGTCAACATCACCGGTCAGAGCCTCTCTCTTCTTGGCAGTCTTGACGCTGGACACGGGGATTTCAATGTCCTTGGTCTTGGAAACACCCTCAGCGATACCGCCGCCCTTTTCGAACTCGGACATAGAGATGGCTGGTGCGACAGTGGCTTCGTGGTGTTCATCGTTCAAGTGCTCTTTCTCGTGGATCTTGTTCTTGGTGTGGATGACCTTTTGTTGGACTGTCTCGCGCTCGATGACGGGTTGAATTGTCTCATGGATGTGGCTGTTGAGTGTTAGCGACTGTTACCCTCCCCAATTGAGTTGTCTTGTACTTACTGGTGAACGTGCTCATTCTCCTTGGCAGGCACATATTCTCGCGAGTGAGTAGTACCCTCAACATGCTTCTCATTGTGGATTCTTGCAGCTTCCTCCTTGGCCTTCATCTTGGCCTCGTTATCGCGATGGTCAATCTCCTCCTCGACCTCATTCTCCTGGTAGACATGCTTGGTAGGAAGGACATTCTTGTCCTTTACTGGCTGAATGGTGGTGTGGTAGTGATCTTGGTGGACCTCGTGGTCGACCTCTGTGTCGACCTTTTCGTGCTCGTGGGACTTGACATCTTCGTGCACGACTGGTGCTGTCTTTTCCTTGTGGATTGTGGCATCATCGGTGGTCTCGACGGTCCTGTCAACAGTCTTGTCGAGAGTCTTGGTCTTGTCGCCGGTGGCAGCGACTTGGGTCTCGCTTTGCTCTTCCAGAGGAACACCTGTGACGATGTTCTTGACAGAAGAGGCAAGCTTGCCGAGAGCGTTGGGAGGAAGTTCAGAAGCCATTGTGTGATAATATGAGTGTGATGGTGTTTGTTAGGTAGGATCAATAATTGCAGGAATAGCTGTAGCTAGAAGAGCTTCTGACAGCTATCTTAATAGGCACAGAAGCTGTGGCAGATTGATGAGCTCATGCCACCAGCCTTGGCAGCAATTGTGGCTTATGCTGTCATCACTCGTCACTGTTATCGCCGACTAAGATCTATGACGACAAAAATCAGAAGCAAATAAGTTTAATTTTCCAATCAATTGTAATCAATCCTTGTATTGTGTCACCTAATATTTTCCAGGTTCTGTCATTCCCTGCATTTGTATGGCGATCGCGATTGAGTTCTACGCCACAGTGATGTAGCGTCTACGTAAGGTTAGTGCAGAACCATTGGAAGCCAATTAGACGGGCTCTGTGGCGTAAGCTCTCCTTTACAGTTTCTTCATTGATCCTAGCTTGCAAGTTTCAAGTTTTGCACATGAATTTGACTCACTGGGTTATGACCTCAACCTCGGCTGCTGTTATTCTTCCTCCAATGGCATGCTGTCATTTGCTCTGTGGGGCAGAAAATGACATTGTTGCGACAGCATGTGGGAACGATCTGTCCATCAACCGATCATCCAGGGCATTTTATCATCTAATTGGACGGAAAGGATTGATGGAAGAAGCTTGTTTCCATGACGTGAGGCTTGAATCGATCAAGAGCTGTTCTGTGCCACACGCTATGTCCCTTGGAAGTGGTCACTGCACCTGTCTCTCTGTGACTGTCCATTCAGTGTCGCATGGAAATCTCCGACACATTCTGTGGGTGGCAGATCAAGCGCTAATTGCAAATCCCAAGGTTCCGTGTTCGAACTTGAATCCCAGCCGTCTTATCTCTTTTCCATTTTTAGGTTCTCCGGTCCTGTCAAAAATATCTTTCCGGCCCTTGAGTCCGGAATAGAGTAATTGAGCGACATGTCGCGGTTAATAGACGGCATATTGCTCGTTTCATGTCAATCGTGGGGGTTTAGTGCGACACAGACAGCCTCCCAGTCAGAAGCCGAGGACCAACCATTGGCTGCGTTCAAACAGACATGGTTCCAAAACGTGTATCCCTCGCTATTCGTCTCAAGGTTTGCCAGCCTGAATTGAACATTCACTTCTTGGGAAACATTCTTGGCTTTATCCGTTCTTTTCTTAGTGCTTGGGGTGTTTTACATATTTTTAGATCCCCATAATGTTTCGCGCTTGGCAAAGGAGGAATAATTGATTGCCTCAACATTGTCTAGAGACTCTTGTGATAATAATAATCTTCGTTGAACGGTGTCTATTAATAGTTTGTTTGTTTCCGGGGCATAAATTGACTCGTTGTATCGCGACTATTAAAGCGTCAGAAGTCCCGATAGTTGAAATTTCTGCTCTCATCATCATCTGCGACTTTGATCATCAACCTCAATCTCTCCATAATCGCCTCCGAATACTGTCATCATGAGACTCGCCGTTCTTCTCGCCGGCTTCGCTGCCATCCTTCCCTTCTCACTAGCAGAAGAGCTCAGCGCCGACGACGTACCCTCAGCATGCAAGACGATCTGCCAGCCCATTGTCGAGCTCAGCAATACATGCGACATCGATCCCAAGGAGAACAAAATACACGACAAAAGAGGCGATTTCTTCCTTGTGGCAAGAAGCAAAGAGGAAGAGGCTATTGAGGCGAACTGCATTTGCACAAACAAGAGCTTCGATGTAGAGTCTGTGATGGCACTATGCGCAAGCTGTATGCAGCAGAATAGTGATGATGCAGAAGGTATGAGCTCAGATAACATGAAGTAGAAACTCAGACTAATCGTTATACTACAGATGTGGAAAAGATGATGAAGCAATGTTCTTTCTCGACAACTACATATGTGCGCGCAGCTACTAGCGTTGTATCGGGTATTCGTGTCGAAGCAACAAAGCCGGCCTCAACAGACATTCGTCCGACAGCCACCACACAGACGAGGACCACGGACGCTACAGCGTCGGCTACGGAGACTGCGGCGAGTAATGCGGGAAAGCTCATGGTTTCTATAGTGGCTGTCACTTGGGCAAATCTGATGTTTGCATTCTTCTTGTGATAGCAGTTGGGAGTTCCTTTCATGATATGAGCTGGCACTAAACATAGCGTATTTATTCCAAGTACACTTCCTAAAGGAATATTCATCCTGAGACAAAAGACCAATAGCCACGGTTGCTCTCACCTCTCTGGACTGTGACAGTAGACTGCGAAGCCGATGGGTAAAAAGAATCAGTGTCTGTAGTGGAGCAAAAAGAAGACATACATACAACAGCGGGGATTCG